CCTTCAGGTTCAACCACGTTGTCACAAACAGCAAGATTTCTTCTTTTCATACGGCTATTTCATTATATAGCTAGTTAGCTAGATATAGATCTATAGGGATATCACATTTTCTTTATCCATTCATTTATTATAGGACATTTAAGCTGATTCTGTATCTTGGCTACTGTGAATAATGCTGCAATGAACATGGGAGTGCAAATACTTTTCAAGATAGTGATTTTATTTTTTTGAATATATACCTCAAAGTATTTTAACTAACTTTCAGTTAGTTATCAAGTTTTTTTCTTCATTAATTCTTTAGTGTAGTATTTGCATTAGTGTTTTTTTAATTTCAGAATATTACAGGGGTACAAACATTTTGGTTACATATAATGTCTTTGCCTCGCCCAAGCCAGGGCTACAAGTATGTCCTTCCCCCATATAGTGAGCTCTGCATCCATTAATTGTGAGTTTACCTCTCCAACACTACCACATGATTGGCATGCAATGAATATTACTACCATGTGAACACCTTAGTGTTGATCAGTTAGTACCAATTTGATGGCGAGTACATGCGGTGCTTGTTTTTCCATTCTTGTGATACCTCACTTTGAAGGATGGGCTTAAGCTCCATCTAGGATAATATAAGAGGTGCAATCTCACCATTGTTTTTTGTAATTGAGTAGTATTCCATGGTATACATGTGACACATTTTATTAATCCACTCATATATTGATGGGCACTTGGGTTGTTTCCACATCTTTGCAGTTGTGAATTGTGCTGCCATAAACATTCGTGTGTACAAATGTCTTTCTTATAGAATGCCTTTTTTTCCTTTGGGTAGATGCCTAGTAATGGGATTCCTGGATCAAATGATATTTCTATTCTTAGCTCTTTAAGATATCTCCAAATTACTTTCCCCACCTCTCCCGTCTCACAAAAATCAACACACAATGGATAACAGACTTAAATCTAAAGCATGAAACCTTAAGAATTTTAGAAGAAAATGTTGGGAAAACTCTTATAGACATCAGCCTAGTCAAATAATTTATGAAGAAGACCCCCAAAGAAATCACAGCAGCAAACAAAAATAAATAAATGCGACCTGATCAAATTAAAAAACTTCAGCATAGCCAAGGAAACTATCATTAGAGCAAATAGAAAATCTACAGAATGGGAGAAAATATTTGCATTCTACAGATCCAATAAAAAGCTGATAACAAGAATCTACATAGAACTTAAGAAAATCAACAAGAAAAAACCAAACAAGACCATCAATAAACGAGCAAAGAATATGAACAGAAACTTTTCAAAAGAAGACAGAATAATGGCCAGCAAACATATAAAGATATTCTCAACCTCTCTAATCATTAGGGAAATGCAAATCAAAAGTACAATGAGATATCACCTAACTCCAGTGAGAATGGCCTTTATCAAAAAATCCCCAAACAACAAATGCTGGCATGGATGTGGAGAGATTGGAACACTCTTACACTGCTGGTAGGACTGCAAATTAGTACAACCCCTGTGGAAAGGAATACAGCTTTTTTAACAGAGAGGTCACAAAAGGTCACAGAACCTCCACTGCTTATCTTTGATCCAAAACTACTCATCCAAAGGAAAATAAATACCTGGTTAGAAGCTATATTCTTTATCAAATCATTGTGAAGCTTTCCTCCACTTTCAAAATTTGTCAATATAAGATTTTTAAGATAGCACCATATTGAACCCAGGGAATTCTTAAAAACAAAATAAAATTCTCTATATGACAGCATACTTTTACTCTGAATTTAAGAGTCAAGTGTTTGTCAATTAGTAAGAGCCATATTTCAGAATAATAGTTTTACCTTGTAATTAATAGAAAACTAAATTAGAAAGGTTTATGTGTATAGTTTTAAGCCTAAATTTACAATCAGTTCAATCTAGACACTTAAGCTGAAGTTTTACCAGAAGTAAAAGAAAATTTGTTATTTAAATGTCATTCAGTTATTTCTATTTAGCTTACTTTTTCCCTCTGGCTTTCTATTTTTTATTATTTTTGATAATAATTAAGTACTTTTGCCTTAGAACAAATTATGAAAAGTAGAGGAAACTTTAATCATTTGGCACATAGGCTTCTATAATAGAGGAAACAGGTTTTAAGCAACTGATTAAAACAGGTTTTGAGATTATATTTTAATATGATTCTCTTCCCCACTTTCTCTTGACAATTGAGCTGAAACTATCACATTCAAACGGAAGTTCATTTTCGGTATGAAAATATACAAAAATGCCTTATTACATAATCTAGACATAATGGTAAAATTGATGAACAAATATGAAATGACTGAAATCTTAATATCTTCAAGATTTTAAAATTCAAGTCATAACTGAATTTCTCCATATTACTCTTAAATTCCATCCCTACTGGGACAATATTCCAAGTAATGGTTAAACATATCATAAAGTTAAAGTAAAGCAATTAAAAGACTCAATTCATCCTTCATATATTTAGGTTTAATAGTAAACTGTTGACAACCTCACAGACTCCAGAGCTGAAACCTTAGCCTCTCGCTCAGATTTGTTATATTTTATTTTTAGATGTAATCACTTCCCTCCGGTAAATGGTTAGTGACCACACGCGCAGGTCTGCACATGAGGAAACTAAAAAGGGAACCTTGCGCTGTGAATCAGATACCCAAGACATAAGAAGGGTCCCTTGCCAGGCTGTGCCCAGCGTGTCATATTCTTCAATAACCCCTTTGACAGTGCTGTGCTGACATTTTCAATTAATGTAACCGATACTCGAAGTTAAGCAATTTCCATGGCACGTTCAGTGCGAGTTGCTTCACGAGCACCTTCTACCAAATGGCGTGACAAAAATCAACTCTTAATCTTTTTGTTCATTAATTTCCCTCAGTGCTTCATATTATGTGAATCTTGTTAGAGTTCAGATTAGTTCTGAATTCACGCTGTTAGGAAAATCTTTCAGAGAGCTTAATTGGGTAAAGTAAATTGGACCAGAATATATATATGCATTTGGGTAGTGCCATACACAGTGTAACCTGATTAAAGAACTGAGATGCTAAAGCTACTAAAGCAAAACATTCAGGTGAATCCCAAGATGGGGAAGTTTTAGTTATGCAAGAAAAGTTCTAGAGATCTGCTGTACAACTTCCACAGCACAGTACTGTTAACAATACTCTATTATACACTTAAAAATTTGTTAAGAGTGTAGGTCTCATGTTAAGTGTTCTTACAATTAATTTAAAAATGTTAGAGCAAAAAATAAAGTAACATAACTAAAATAAAAGAAAAGAAAAAATAAGATAAAAGGAGCCTAGTGGCATAAAATGCAAGATAACCAGCTGGGGTTGGGGGGGGGGGAGAAAAAGAAAAAGGAAATGACAATTCTCCCAAAGGTGAGTGTTCTCTAAGTGTTTTCCTCAGATATCCTGCATTAAATTCACCTGGGGAGCTTGTTAAAGATCTAAATTACTGAATCCCACCCCAGCTTGACCTGCATAATGGGAATATGTGAGAGTGGGACTCCGAATCAAATCAGGTGATACTTATTCACGCTAAAACTGCAGAACCATTTATTTAGATCTTTCAAATCATTGTTATCGTCAAGAACATTTTTTATGCACTAGCATGTCGCTAAAAACTGTATCCTGCTCAACCAAAGATTCATTCTCCTTTCTAACTAAAAATGTCCTATTCTCTCTGATTAAATTGCAAAGCACATTACCCACTGTGTCTCAAAACGAAGAGACATAAAGAAATTCACAAGAGTAGCAACATTATCAGAATAAACTTGCATGCCCTATGTATTTCTTTTCTTTTTTTACATAGCTATAGTTGCGATGAGTCACTGCTAATTTATTTCTCACTGAAGAAAGAGTTTTTTCCCAAAACTATATGACAGCCACAGGATGTCTTGTACACAGCAATAGAATATTCAAACTTTCATATGGATTATTTTAGAAAATGCACCTCCTGCCAAATTAGTAAAAAAAAATCATAAAAACTTACATGACACTCTGAAAGACTAAGATTTGTTATATCTTTATAAGTAATTGTTATTTTATGTGTACCTCAAACTCAAAGTCTCTACTAGAGTGAGTTTATACCTGTTTAACAAACATTATTAAAGAAATATTCAAAAGATTAAGCACAATAAGACTCACAGTCTCAGAATACATCGTCACATGTGATCATCAGAATACATTATATTCGATCCATTGCGTAGAAAGAGAGGTGAAGTTTCTCTTTCCCTAGCAAATGGCTTCTCTTATGTGTTTAATTTAACTTTGTGAGAATTACACCTATGTCAGTAACTTATATATACTCAATGTTCAAGAAAAGCCTTCCTAATTAACCACATAATCAATTTTAAAAATCAGAGGTGGAAGTAAACATTTCAAATTGCCTTTAAGCCCTGTGGAAGTATTTATGAGAACACTGATAAATTTAACAATTGCAAATAAATATTGTCTGTTTAATTAAAAAAGTACTCTAAAGATCTGTCAACCTTTTATTTGCCTCATCTGAGAGACAACAAAACTGACATAATTAAACCACATTTCCTTTTACACCTCCTATTCTATTTTTCACTTTTCCCTAATTAAGATTAGATATGTCCTCATTAATCCTAATTAGTGATGCGTTTCCATACTTACAACTTTAATAAATAATACTTGAAGGGGAAAGGGAAAGATGTATAATGTTATATATACACACAGAGATGCATACATATATATTTATATTTGTAAATATCAATGACAAACAGGAAAGGCTAGTATATGAAAAAATATACATATGAAAAAATTAGGTAGTTTTAGATATTCTCAAACATCATGTGAAGGTCAAAGGGGAAAACAATGAATTATAATTTATCCTGTACTACTAGATTTAGCCTATGGCCTCTTCAACCTTAACAAGATTTGTTTTAATGATTTTTTTTAATGATTTAAAGACTATAAATGATTTAAAGACTATAAATAACATTTAGTGATTAGGCAAAGAAGTGGCCTGGATACCTGGATTGTCCCTAACGGTCACGGAAGTGGAAGCAGGAAGCAGGAACATTGCCACCCAAAACCAAAGTTTCCAAGAGCCAGTGTGCTTCATCGTGCCTTGAAACCATGTGAACAAGTGGCCACAGATCTAAAACAGAAAACGAAATTCGAGTTAAGTTTATCATATGCCACTTCATTCATCATCTTCAGAAAACCCCCATCACCAAAGAGAAAAACAATAGATTTGTATATTGTATATTATCTATAATTATATAATAGGGTACATGATTATATCATATATCTAATTATGTATATTGATATATACCTTAATCTGTATGAAAGAGCTCTGAAAATATTTTCAGATTAGTTATCACTTAATTATCGATGTCAATACCACCTCCTCCTATAACTTAAATTTTCTCTTCTTTGAAATGTTTTTTAAAGTCACACCATTTACAATGATTTAATTTTTATTTAAAAACTGTGAAAAAATATACATAATATAAAACTTACATTCTTAACCATTTTTAAATGTAAAGTTCAGTGAAATCAACTATCTCTACATTGATGTGCAACCATTGCTGTCACCCATCTGTAGAACTCTTCATCTTGCAAAGCTGAAACTGTGACTATAAAAATTAACTTCCCATTCTCCTTTCTCCCAGGCCCTCACAGCCATCATTATACTTGCTGTCTCTATGAATTTGACTTCTCTAGGTACTTCACATAAGCGGAATCATTCAACATCTGTCTTTGTGTGACCTCATTTCACTTAACGTATGTCCTCTAAAGTTTCCTCTATGTTATAGCATGTGTCAGAATTTCCTTCCTTTTTAAGACTGAATAATATTCCATTGTATGTACATACCACATTGTGCTTATCCATTCATTCATCAGTGAACATTTATGTTGCTCCCATCTTTTGACTGCTGTGAACTACACTGCTACGAACATGGATGTACAAATATCTATTTGAGTCCCTGCTTTAAATTCTTTTGGGTATATACCTAGAACCAGAGTGAAATTGTGGGATCATATGGTAGTTCTATTTTTAATTTTCTGATGAAAAACACCATACTGTTTTCCATAGCAGCCACACTATTTTCATTCCCACCAACAATGCACAAGGCCTCCAATTTCTCTACATCCTAGATAACAACTTGTTATTAATATTTTATTTCACTCTTTGATATGTGCCTTCAATAATTGTATGAGATGATATCTCCCTGTGGTTTTGATTTGCATTTCTCTAATTATCAGTGATGTCAAGCATATTTTCATGTGCCTATTGGCCATTTGTATATCTTCTTTGGAGATATGTCTATCCAAATCCTTTGCTCATTTTTTAATCTGGATGTTTGTTTTATTGCTGTTGAATTGTAGGAGTTCTTGATATGTTCTGGATTTTAACCCCACATCAGCTTTATGATTTGTAAATATTTTCTCTATTTGTTTGCCTTTTTACTCTATTTGTGTCCTTTGATGCACAAAAGTTCTTTATTTTATGTAGTATGTTTTACCTATTTTTGTTGCTTTTGATTTTTGCATTGTACAATATACAATGATACATATTTTTAAAGTATATTAAGTGATTCATATTTTCAAAGTATATTTTATTATTGATAATTCTGCTTTCTCTTATGAATATTACTTTTACATATTTTAGCTTGTCATTATGTTTTCTATAAACTTAACTATGTTGTTAAGTTTTAAACAATGAAGAAATGCCAATCATTGCTATTAGAGTGATTACTGCACATGTGAAAAGTAATCTTTTCTTCTATTTAAAAAGAAAAACGGATATATGCAATGCCTACCTCTCCTGAGCCTTCCATTGGCATCATATTTAATATGAGTTTATTATCTTCCAGAATTGTTTGCCTTTCTGTATGTATATTTCTTCTCTATATGCATTAAAAGATTTAGTAAATAAAATCCTTGAAAGGAAAATTTTAAATCATTTAAATTAATTTTTGTAGTAAAATAACCAACATAAATTACAAGTAAAAATATTATGGCTCCCTAAGCATATTTGACAATTGTAGCTAAAATAGCTATTAGCATATTTGACAATTGTAGCTAAAATAGCTATTCTAAGAGTTCTAAATATGCAAATAAATGTTATGCCACTTATTTGCCATCATTCAAAATGTAATCAAGAGTCAAATATAAAAGAATTTGTCATACCAGTGTCTAAATTCTATCAATAGAAACTCTAGAAAAAAACTAAGGCCACCACCATTGTTTGGTATTCTGTGTGTACCAAATAGCCTAAGATCAGCATTTTAAAATTAATTCAAGATTTCAGATCTTTCATAGCTAGAAGCAGCAGCAATTGCAATATTAAAACTGCATGTGTGGTTCTAAATATCAAACAGCTGGTTTATGCTATTTCTTTTGAATTTTCTCATCTAGATATAGTCCCAATCCTCATATGACTTTGCAAACTTATTCTAGCTATTACTTCAAGTCAGCTGGTAACTGTTAAAGAAATTAATTCTATTTCAAATAAATGACATCACAAATATTGATCTCATTTTTAGAGAAACCTGTGATTGTATTTTAAACCAAAGTGATTCCTATTAGTTGATAAATTAGTACTTTGACATAGTATTTAAAATCAAGTCTTCATATCTGGACTCTGCTACTTGTGAACAAGTTATTTAACTTCTTTAAGCCTTAATTTATTCATATTCAAACTGGAAATAATCCTAGGAATAAATCATTTAATGCATAGAAAGTGTATAGTATAGGTCCTTGAACATAGTAAGTGTTCAAAAGGTACCTATTGTTTGCTGTACATATTAATAAACAATAATTAGTAAAAATTTACAGTTATACTTGCATCCTCTCCCTGAAGTAGATGATTTTTGAACAATGAAGAAATGCCAAAGCATCCTAGAAATTTATGTTCACTGAGGCTTTCGTCCCTGTTACAGCAACAAAGAACCAAAGTGCAATACAGCCATAGCATATGAATTCAATCTTGACATTTCCTAATTATTTCCTTGAGCCGCCTAGAGGATGATAGCACTTAGCTAAATCTCACTTATTTAAAGTGTTTACAGAATAAGATTTTATAGTTAGTTGAGTAAATGTTCTAGTTGTTGAAGGATTGCCATTTTACCACTCCACTGAAATGTCTCTCACCAAGTTTGGCAGGAACTTGAAAGAAGAATCCTTTTGTCTTCCTTTCTAACTCAATTCTTGCTGGCATTTCCAATAGCTGACTATTCCCTCCTTCCTGAAGCACTCACTCTTATTGGCCTCCCTCACCTGACACTCTCTGGGATTTCCTTCTAAATCTTCTTCTCAGACCTTTTTCTATCTGATTTCTTAATATTGGGATCTACGAACCCTCCTATCCTCTCTAGAATGTCTCCCTAAGTGATGTCACCATTCTCTTGGCTTTAAATGATATCTGTAAGGTGATGAATCTAAAATTTACATCTCCCATCCAGTCCTTCTCTGAACTTTAGACTGTATAACCAGCTGCTTATTCAATATTTCCCCTTAGATATTGCCCAAAAATCTATAACTAATACATCCACATTAAAGTCCTGATTTCCAATCACAACTTGTTCCTCTAATGCTCTTCCCAGACTCAGTAATTGCCAAATACTCATTGCTTAGCTCCCATTTATAAGCGAGAACATGCGGTATTTGGTTTTTTGTTCCTGTGTTGATTCACTTAGAATAATGGCCTCAAGTTCTAACCAAGCTACTGCAAAAGACAATTTTCATTCTTTTTGATGGCTATGTAGTAGTCCATGGGTTCTGTGTGTGTATACACATATATGTACATATATGTGATTGAGATATAGATAGATAGATAGATAGATAGATAGATAGATAGATAGATAGATAGATAGATACACACATATATACATTTTCTTTATCCACTCATCCGTTGGTGGGCACTTAGGTTCAGTCCATATCTTTGCAAGTTGTGATTTATGCTATAATAAACATACAGGTGCAGATATATTTCTTTGTAAAATGACTTCTTTCCCTTTGGGTAGATCCCCAGTAGTGAGATTGCTGGATTGAATAGATCTACTTTTGTTCTTTGATGAATCTCCATGTTGTTTATAGAAGTACTAGATTACATTTCCATCAATAGTGTATAAGCATACCCTTTTCACCACATCTGCACTAGCAACTATAGTTTTTTTGACTTTTTAATAATAGCCATTTTGACAGGGATAAGGTGATGTCTCATTGTGGTTTTAATTTGCATTTCCCTAATGATTAGTGATGTTGAGCATTTTTTCATGTGTTAGTTGGCCATTTGTTTCTACTCCTTTGAAAAATGTTTATGTCCTTTGCCCACTTTTTAATGGGGTTATTTGTTTTTCTCATGCTGACTTGTTTGAGTTGCTTATAGATTCTAGATATTAGGTATTTGTTAGCTGTATAGGTTAAGAATTTTTTCTCCCATTCTGTGGGTCATTGATTTATGATCAACTCTGTTGATTACATCTTTCCTATGCAGAAGCTTTTTAGTTTAATTAAATCCCATTTGTTCATTTTGCTTTGTTGTTGTTTTGGGGGTCTTAGTCACAAATTCTTCACCTAAGCCAATATCAAGGATAGTTTTTCCTAGGTTTTCTTCTAATATTGTTATGGTTTGAGATCTTACATTTAAGTCTTTAATACATCTTGAGTTAATTTTTATAAATGGCAATAGAGAGGGATCCAGTTTCATTCTTCTGCCTCAGGCTATCCAATTTTCCCAGCAACATTCATTGAATCGATTGTCCTTTCCCCAGTGTATTCTTTTGTCTGCTTTGTCAACAATCAGTTGGTTGTAGATATTTGGCTTTATTTCTGGGTTCTCTATTTTATTGCATTGGTCTACGTGTCTACTTTTATACCAGTGAAATGCTGTTTTGGTTGCTATTGCCTTGTAGTATAATTTGAAGTTGGGTAATGTAATGCCTCCAAATTTGTTCTTTTTGCTTAGTATTGCTTTAGTTATTCATGCTCTTTTTTGGTTCCACATGAATTTTAGGGTTGTGTTTTATAATTCTGTGGAAAATGACAGCATTTTGACAAGAATTGCATTGAATCTGTAGATTGCTTTGGGCAGTGCGGACATTTTAACAATATTGATTAATCCAGGCCATGAGCATGGGATGCTTTTTC